AAATAAGAGAATTTTCAGGTAGCAACTATCCTTACCAGCGTTTTAATATTTTTTTAACCCTTCAAAAGCATTTGCCACTATTTTCCTAAAACGCCATCTTTCTTTCGCTTCTGCAGCACTCCTAGTTTTCTTCTGACCTTGCTCCCTCCTCTTCCTCAAAACTCTTCTCTGGCTCTTTTTACTCTACCCATTAAATGTTAGCATCCCTCAAGGATTTTTCCTGAGGGCTTGTTTTTCTTCACACTACGCATATAAAAATATATTCCCTAGGTGATCTTAACTACTCCTATGGCTTAAAATTATCATTTATATATCAGTAACTCCCAATTATTCATTTTACCAGTGAAAAGAACTGCTGACCACTTCCACCTAGATGTGTATATACACCTCAAACTCAAAAATGAACTCATCGTTTTCTCTGCTCCCACCCTGCCCATCTTTCCAATGCTCCTCTCAGCGATGGTACAATATTTATCCAGTTGTCCAAGCCAGAAACCTGGGCGCCATCTATGTAGAAGGAAGCTGCATTCCTTCTACAAGCAACTTGGACCTGTCCGTGTCTATCTGTACCACCTCTATGCTAGTTATTTATTATTATCTGTATTATTACAAACGTCTTCCTCCAGTTTAGTGTCCCTTTAATCCTTAAAAGAATTATGTATTACATCTTTATATTTCCAGGTCTCATCACTGCGTCTGATACTGTCTATACATATGACGCTTCAATTAGCTAGGAGGACACTGAATGTGCCCAACACAAAGAAATGATAAATGTTCGAGATGATGGGTGTGCTAATCACCCTGATCTTATCACTATTCATCATATTAATATGTACTGAAACATCACTATGTTCCCCACGAATATGTATAATTATTACTTGTCAATTAAAAATCTTTTAAAATAAAAGAACAAATTCTACAACTAATGTTTCATAGATCCTAAAATAGGTTAATCAGCAACATGGATAAATGGTAAATAAAACAACAGGAATCAAGAAGACAAAGAGGCTCGGTGCCTGTGGCTCAAG